TTCTCTGATATAGATCCAGTAGACCCAAATGAATTGACGGGTAAATTGAGGATTCATATAAGGCTTTGTGAGTGCCGAGCTCATTGGTTTTGCCCACTGATCGTCGATGTTGGCCCACTAGAATAACTTTGAGAACGCCACATCCAACGTAGGTACCTAACGGTACGAGAGAACTCGTGTTTTGAACCGATGCACCGAAAACAATATCTCAATCCAGACGTTTACCCGTCACGCCCGTCCCGTTGACTGTGCCGTCTCGTCAGACTCTTTTTGAAGCACTCGACGGGCCGTTAAATCACGGCCCGCGCCCGCTGACCACCCGTCAAATCGATGGCCGTTGCCGTCACGGGCAAGGGTGGCAGCCCTAAGTAAGGATATCCACCAGTATAAATATATTACCTGCACCAACCATATCCCACAAAGACCACAATTTCCTCTATCTGGTGAAAAAAATCGAAAATCAGGCATGAGGCTATAACTGTTTTTTTACAGGTCATCAGCCTGACGCTCTCTGATCCGCAATTATCAGAGCTTGACTAGACCCAGTTGGCCTGACCAGTTGTGTGACAGGCAGATAAGCTTCAAAAATCGCTTATGAATATAAGGCCTGAATTTATCCGGTCACGACCGGATCAGCGAATTTGGATTTCTCCAACATTCTATGAAAAGCAGAATGAAGAAATGGACGAATCATTCAAAAGGAACCACGGAAATCCGCCAGCCCGCGTCCGATTTTTTGCCTCCTACTCTTCCGGTTGCACGAAGAGGAAGAAGCCGAACGACAGCGGGTTACGGCGTACGTACAGTATGTCCGTTGCACTTAATTTAGGCTCAGGGTCATCAAGGAGAATTGATCGGAGCGCCACAAGACTTCCATCCCAACCTCCATGTCTGAGAGAAGACGATACCGTGCCTCACACCAATCGCACGCGGTCCACTCCGGCTCTCTCGCAACTCGTTGCACTATCGAGGTGTCGAGTTCAACCGGGAATGGGGAAAAAAAGTTCCTGAGTCTGTTCCATGAAGTATTGGGCCTGCGAAAATGATTCCCCTCCTATCATTGAATACAATCGTCGGCTCCAAACATTCGGTTCTCCCTAAATTCACGTACCGCGACATCGTCTGTCACCAGCCCTTCTACGTCTGACACATTGATTGACAACCACATATTCAGTTCCCATTGCACTCCATTTGCACTACCCGAGGTCGGTAGGTAGATAGGCAGCATTCGCAGTGCATTGAACAATAATCGCCGATCACTGCGGCGAGCGGGGTCACTAGGGGATCTCTCATCATCAACATCTCCTTCAGAGGAGTGCAGACACCCTCTTTTATACTGCGCGCATGGGGGCTTCCCGAACGTTCATGTCAACAACGGGCGTGCTGACCGGCGAGGCTAGGCGCCAGGTCAATCTCCTGCTCGGGCCTTGGGTACGCCGTATCTCTTCTGTGAGAATCTGCGCCCCGCTGATTCGCATTCGATCACATAGCTTGTTGGCTGTTGTCTGGATCTCCTATTCCAGGGCACGCTGTTAGTCCAAGTACGCATATGCATGCACCGTCCGCTGCGTGCACTGACGATAGACGAGTTCAGTTCATGAACTACTTCTCGTGGTACCAAGATGACAAGGGCGCCTTGAAGGCCGTTGTGGGCGGCCTGTTCCTGCTCACGACACTCAAGTCCATCCAATCTTTGTGCGTTCTCATTTCATTCAATGCTGCACTAGACCGGTGACTCAATTTCGCGCAGTGTCATCCTCTGGATCCAATTCATTGTCTTCTTCGGTGACGTCGAGGGCGCGATCAAACTCGACTTCACTACGTGGTGGCAGTCTGGGAACCCGCTCATGGTGAGCCCAATTGTACCACCCTGATTCAGACAATGATTCAACTTATTGAACAGGTCGCGGTCATCGGCCTCTACGTCCACTCCTACTTCTGCTACCGCCTCTACATTATCTCAGGCACCGCATACGTCGTCGCGCCCGTGGCGATCATATTCCTCTTCGCGTTCCTGTCCGTGATAATCGCGGTGCGCCTGTATTTCACGCTATATCGCTGGGCTTGAATCACTTATTATTTACACGCCGCAGACGTACTACATCGTCGCAAATGACGACACCGCGATCGGGAACTGGTGTGCGTGTGCCCTCATTCCCTCTCTTCTCCTGCCATATCGCTGAACCCTCCCTCTGCCGATTTAGTTACAGCACATCTCAGCTCGGTGTTCGGTGCGTCTGGGTACACTCATCCATCTGCGCTTATTGATGACTTTTATTGCAGCGGGCGACCTCATCTTGTCCGCAACAACCGCATTTTTCCTGATAAGGTCCGCGGGGGTGCACCCGCAGACGATCGGCCTAATGGAAGCGCTCATCCGGCTCACGTTTCAGACCGCCGCCCCCGCCGCCCTGTGGTGCGTTTCCTCCCTTCCCCATCCCCCATCCCCCATCCCCATGCCCTATCCTTCACTCGCCATCCCCCACATTCCTTGTGTCAAACCACCTCAATCCCCACCCGCATCCTGCTACGTCGTTAACTCAAACCCCGCCACTAGCGCGATGTTCAATCTCATCTTCTCCCTCCTCTACACCGCTGACCAGGCGCTCATTTCCACCGCCTTCAACATGCCGCTGCCCAAGCTGTACGCCATGTCCATGATGTGGACGCTCAACGCGCGGCGCCGCATCCGTGCTTTGTATAGCGCGCACAACGGGGTGATTGACACGGCGGACATCGCGGCAGGGCTCGCGACAAGCAATCAACTCGCGACGAGGTCCTGGTCTGGGCGCGCGGGCGGGAGTAATGTGAGTTCACTTCAAAGACGTTCGGATGTGCTCTGAATATGAATAAGGGGAGCGCACAGGGCCTGACGCAGATGCAGATGCAGACGGCATCCTCGGGGAACGTCGATGTTAGTCCTCCTATCTCTTATAATCAACGGCTAACCGCAGTGCAGGTGCACGCGATGTTCCACCGCGGTGGGGAGACAAGAACCGGAGATGAGGAGTCTGGGTATGGGTTCTGACTTGAATCGGTGTATGCTGCTGCACGCACGGTGAACCAGCGTACGCGGTGATCTGAGTCGGTGTACGCTCAGTGATCTGGGCGGGCGCACGTTCAGTGATCTGGGTCGGCGTACGCTCGGTAATTTGGATCGGTGTACACTCATTGCTCTGGGCGGGCGTACGCTCGTTCCTCTGGCTCGCGTCGAAGAGGAGGACTACTTACCTAAACTGGGAAGAGTGGTCGAGGAGCATAAATCGTGCTCTGGTTATCTGTGCTCAGGAAGCATTATGTCTGTCGGAAAAGAACGGAACGGGAAAGGGAAGAGAAAGAGCCGTATATCGTTCGTTGACTTTGTATATCTACTTAATGCGCCCTGTGGAACTCAGGATTAATATATTAATATCCCATGTTGTCTTGCGGTGGGCGATGGTTTGTGGGGCGCAGCGTGTCTCTCCGACAATTATGTATTTGCACGCGAACAATCGCGCGTTGCGTATCAAGGTAAATGCGATGACGCACGATACACAATATGATACGAGACACAATATCAATGTTACACACGATGGGCTGGAGTAAGGATAACTAGAATATACACAACACGGAAAGACGTTAGATAACTCACGAATGACCCCGTGGTGAGGACGGAAACGCACTATGAGATAGGAATGAGAATAGGGAGAGGAGGGTTGGATGGGAGAACGCACCTCGGAGATCATATCACGGTAACGCAAATGGGGATGGGGACGACTCCGAAGAGACCGTCGGCGATGTGCGTCGCGTCTCCGAAGAGCGTTATAAAACAAGAGCGATACGCCGAAGCGATACACTCGAAGAACTCGCGAAGAGAACGGGGGAGGAAAAAATTAATCACCAGTCACAACGGCCGCAGAGTAGTCTGAGTCGAGTTGCACGGCGCGCTCCCGGAAGCCGCCGCGCGCCGCGAAGTGCACTGAAGGGAGGTGCGCCCGTGCCATGCCGAAATCCTGAATCCGCCACGCTCCTCGTGCGCCGGCCTCACTCCGATACGCTCGTCATTCCATAGGATTTGGGCGAAACGTAAGTGACAGACGGACCCAACCTTTCGGGGGGAATGGTACTCCAGTCCCCGGGTGGATCCGTGACTTGCAGGAACATTAATTAGATGTATGCGCGGCTGAAAGTCCTGTCATTCGAATGACAGGAGCCGGCGGCGGTCGTCCAAGATGGGGCGGGTGCCGAAGCTGCACGACGTTGCGGCGGAACGTACGGGTCCCGGCCCGTACGTCGGAGACCGTGGAGTCGATGGTGTCCAAGCCGGGATGCGGAGATGCGTATCCCGGCGGGCGGTCAGCGCGGTAGTGAGACGGGGTCAAAACCCGACGCCTGGCGTCGGAGAGAACCCTCGAGATATTCCCGAAGGTAAACTGCCGCCCGCCCAGTCGCGCGTGGGGACGACCCGCGCGCGATTAGTCCGACGCCGATAGAGCACGGAGGAGGATAGCAGGCTGCGGCACACCTCCCAGTCCCACGACGATTCCAAGCCACGCAGCACATCCCTCCTTCATGAAGAGATCTTCGGGCGTAGCGCGCGCGGCGTGTTTCTCGTACGTCGGTCGGCTTGTTAAAGCCACGTCCAGCGAGGACGAGTCGAGGGGACTGGAACGCTCAGACCTTCCCGCTCGAGGGTGGACGGGGAGTCCTGTGCGGAACGAGCATCGCGGCTTCGCGGCCGTCGTGGTGGGAAGAGGAAAGCTTTGAAAAAGCCCATCTTTTCTTCCCGTGATGGTTGATTGTGGATCTGATGTCGGAGCTCAACCAAATGATCCGCTAGAACGGACTCGCCTGGACTATCTGAGTCACAGCGGAGATAAATAACCTCAGGCTATTGAATCCTTTTCTGAATCTCTGCGCTTAACCCGCAGACACAACTGATTTTTAACTGCAAACTGGACACATCCGGACCTCTGAATCGCCGATACGGTCACCTCGCACCACACCGGCGGCGCCTCCACTGCTCCCTGGCCCAGCTGGTTAAGGCGCACGACTGTTAGCACCGTTTCTGATATCGTGAGATCGTGGGTTCGACTCCCCCGGGAGCAGTCATCCTGACTTTTATTTTGACCGCGTTGTATCTCCATGGGTCTTTCTTTTCTTTTCTTTTTTGATGAATGTTGTTATTTGATACCCGGATTCGCACGAGTGCAGGTTACTGGGTACTCATACGTGTCCCTTGATCACTTTCTCCGAGAGCCTCGGGGATGTTCCTTGATGCGCCGGAGTTTGTATCTTGACGTGCCACCTTGGTTTGCTCTTCAACGTCCGCACCCTACTCCTTAATTCCGTGCCGTCGTTTTATGAGCCCCCGACTGACCCCAAGAGTCTCGAGCCTTCACCCGATTTACTGGAAGAGCAGTTCTCCGCTGGTCCAAGGTAAGAATATTCCTGGTACCGACCTAGGGACCAGGTCTCAAACCCGTAACCCTGATCGGCAATTTTTCCCGATCATGACGGGACATTGTTTAGTTACCGGATCACGTGCTTCTTATTCCTGGTACCGACCTAGGGACCAGATCTCAAACCTGCCGTTACACCGGCCGCTTACCATTCACACCGCCGATCACACCGTCGGCCTCCCAAACTCCTGTTATTTCCAACTCCCAAACACACTCCAAAACACTTGTCCAAAAAATCCGAAAGCCGGCCCCTGCTATGTTGCCGTTATGTCTGCCCCATTTCAATCGTCAACACCCAGCCATCACTATTGTTTTCAATAATGCACCTGCAGCTTCCAATGACCAGTATTTCACGAACTTCAAACTCAACTGTATCTCCGACCTTATTGATGTCGGCGACCTGCACAGCATAAACGACACGTATTCTCGCTCTGCCAAACATACCATTTGTTACTGCCCTTCTCTAGCCCAATTCGTCATCCACAACCTCTCCTTGAGCACTGCCCAACTTCTAACTCTGGCACGTCATCGCAGGATACAGGCCCGGGAAGAGTCCAACAAACTGTTCCTTAGTCAACAGTTGGGTCGCCATGACTGTGCCAATCACTGTTCCCCCACGTACCTGGTGTTCATCAACCAGCAATATCCCCGTGCCGCGCCTTTCGTCGTGCAAAATATTACTCTGGGGTTGCACTGCCTACACAAGCTCTGACTCTGGCCGAAATGGTTAATCTTAACGTGCTGCCGATCATATTCAACAACAAGATTCAAGTAGATGTTGACGATGGAGTTACACATGCATCTACATACCTGCTGAACAGCTCCTTCGATTTCGTTGAGGTGGTTTCACCTGTCACCTTAATGACACTCCATTATGCTGACATTGGTGTGAAGTTTACCGCTGTCGCACCACATTGTATCGCCAGTCTGGTGTCGATGTATGACCATTTCACCTTGAGTCAGCTCATTGGCATCATCATGTGCCTTTGTCAAGACGCAAATCTGAGCAAACCATAAGCTTACTCTCCCAACAATGTAGTGCCTCATGTCTGGGGTATAACGACGTCTTGCTCTTCGCAAGGTCCCAACATTTTTGAGAAGGAGTGGTCGAGCTGAAACCCCCAGCGATGATGCTAGCATCGTAAGCATCCTGGAAGAAAAAATTCATGGTCACAAAGGCTCGTAACACCGGCCTAAAACAGTCCAGTGTAAATCCATCTGATAAGAAACAGATTGTGCAGGACACCGAATGGGAAGCGAGGACCAATTTCCCATATATGTGCCCCATGAGCCGTCACCGACAAATTGTAGATGAGTGGCAAGCACAGATAGACTCACCTCAATGGATCCCTAGACCATGTGCCGTCTGTGGCACGAAGATGGCCAATAAATTTCTGACGGAGGTAAATTCGCTCTACTTCAATTTCAAACTATTGCAGAACCCATGTCTACCGGTTGAAACCTTACCGACTACTCAACGTAAAGGCATATTTGATCTCTGTAAGACTCCATGGGAACAGGGTCTCCAGCCCTCCGATGCTCTTACCAACTTCTATTACTATGCCCGAGATGAACTACCTCCTGACATTCGGGCGGCTTTTGCAGAGGCTTCAATGTACGACATTATGATGGTGGCATGAGCATGAACAACTTGAATTATTCACCTGATCAGCGAGAAGAACAAGGCAGAGAAGCTGGATCAGTTCACAGCCGTCTCACAGAAATATTCTAAAGGTAATGTTGCCATATTTGCGCAGGATGTCGCTTCGCTGCATACAATATTGCCACCACTGAAGGAGGAAATCCACGAAGCCATGTGCACATTGTTCATCGGCCCATCCGTCGCCCCTACACGCGAAAATATACGTGAGCTGGCACCCGTCGTCATTTCAAAGACCAGAGTGGAGGAGCACATGATACATTTTTGTTGAGTAAGAACACACTTTACGTTGGAGCCGACATCTCTCTAGTAGTCATCGACCCCCTGGAATGGTGTGTGCTCCATTGACATCTTGTAGATTTATGTAAGGATAAACACCCTTATGTACCTACATGTTTGTCTTCGGTAAACTCGTTGTTCATGTTGTGGACCACACGAGTATAATATATCCCCCCCCCCCTTCAGTCCCGAAAATTTGGCGGCTTTGTTTGCTGAGGGAGGAGGGGATGTTGGCATTCCTAATGTGGTCGAGGCGTGCTGTCTGCGCGAGTCCAGTCTGGAAACAGACAGCTACGCAGACAGAGGTAACGACAGATCAGTTAATGGCAATCAGTGCTGCCCATATTTTTCTTGTTCAAAATCCAGCACCATGCTCAGGAAATACACGGTATATGATACCGCTTGCTCAGAAATCAGATCTGTGTGCATAAATGTATTAACATCGAAGGAGAGATATAAGGTGTCAAATTAACCAAGGTAGGGATAGCGGTCGGCTGTATCGGTACCAGGGGCGCCCGGAGGGCCTTATGAATACAATTAATGCAATTTCAAAGGTATCTGACCGGGACTCGTGAGATACCTTCGACACGTGCAGAAGCCTTAATAGTCGATGCCGCGAAGGAGTTCAAACGTTATTGGAATCACCCGACATCGATGTGAAATAAGGTTAGCTAGGCGCTATGTACTCACCTTGAAAGGGGTTGATTTTCTTTCTGTTACTCTTTCTGGATTTCCAGACAAGAATGGCAGTAAGTGTGTGCATACAGACGAGGAAGATGCAGCTATGATGAAAGACAGCAAGGAACGCTACGGCTGTCAGGCTAACAGATACTCGTGCTGTTGCTGTGCGTCCTGCATCTGTGTGACACCAGACGCGACCGATATTTCGTGTCGAATCTCCTAGAACATCAATAAATGGTCCTGTTGCGCCGAAATACACTCACCTTAAATTTATGAAGGGAGTGTTGTAGGTCAATCGTGCACAATTCCAGCTGGGAAGCGTTGTCGAATTAGTGTTGTTCAAATTTTGTCTACTTGGTCCTTTTTTGCGCTCCTGGTCCATTTCCGGTTTGCTTCCAGGGAGGCAACTAGGAAATGCAAAAAGGAAGCAAGTAGGGAAAAAGCTGCAAACAGGAGCACATGTAGTTCCTGTTTGCAAAATCCTCCTACCTATGCTCCTACTCGGATTTCCTTCTCGCGCCCCTGCTCGAACAAAATTAAATTTCTGCTTCGCAAATAATGTTTTCTGCCCACACTGCTACCCTACCTTGTGTCCCCTCTTTATCATCTCTACTTGAGTGCATTCAAACAAGTAGGAAAGCCCTCCTACTTACTTCCTAGTACCGAAAACCCGCCCCTGGGGTTTCAAATATGCTCCTTTTTAACTCCTACTTGAGTTCCTACTTCGTCCCTTTTTGCCCATTTTACTGCCAAAAGTGCAAAAAAGGAGCACCTAGGAGAACAAACAGGAAGTCAAATAGGGACAACTTTGAACGGCACTATTGTTTGATTACCGGTCGGATTTAATCATTATTTAGATGGCCTTCATGAATGTGCAGTGTTCAAGCCAGCTTCATAGAACGCTATGGACGAAGAAGTATCGGACGCACTCTGTTAAGTTACCCATTTGAGCGCAGTTCATCGCCGTTCACAATAAGGTCGAGCTCGATTATGGCGCACAGGATTCGATAAAATATTCCGTGATCCGGATAAACACATCCATGTTTCATTTAAGGGCCTATTACGATGAAAGTTTGAAACATTGAATCCGCAGAGTCCGAATTGCACTCACCGGCGCACAGTCCAAAATCGCTGCCCTGAACACCGCAGTAAAACGCAAAATTGGGACATCGATGGCCTTCGCACTGTTTCTTGTCGCCGAGGCTGCCAGAGAAGTATACTGGACAATAGCTCGAAGACGACTTGACTGCATGGCCCTCCTCCCTGATCGAGGGTGGGATCATAAGGTTTTTTTTTGCAATCTTCACTCTTTCACAGCTAAGTTGAAAACGATAGACCTTTTTGATTTCAGAGCAGAGTTCGGGCCGAGTACAGCCTGAGACCAAACAACTCCCAATTTTTAATCATAGGTATCCACGACCTAGTAATTTCAATGAAAAGTGTTTTGCTCAAGCGGTGTATGTGTCGTTGGTTATCTTTAGGCATATTAGCATGTAATATTGTAGAGTGGGGAGTGATTGAGCTCATCAAAACATATTTGTTTGGCCTCAGACTGTGCCCGGCCCGAACTCTGCTCTGAAACCGAAAAGGTCTATTGTTTTCAACTTAGCTATGTAATACGTGCGCCAACAGATCCACACCCGTTTCTCTGATACCGCCGAGATTAGGCCGCTTCTGAGGATTCAGGATCGCCGAGTTCTGCGGTATGCAGATGGTTGTAGGGGGCACATCTGGTCAACCGGCATGAGGTGACGGTCTCATGGAAGAGGGCGATGTATTTTCAGTTTTCCAGCGGGATAGAGTATTTGCATAGCCCTCCGAGCTAATGACAGTGGCCATCAGACTAATAGCCAGAGGAAGATGACCTGTCAGCTCAAGAATTTGAGCAAAGCTCGACTCTTCTTGCTCGATTGGAGTGTCCAAAATATCAATGAAAATTTGACGAGATGCAATGGGCGAAAGAGGTGTAAGTGGGGGGAGAAATGGCCTAGTCCATTGCACTCTTCCAGGCCGTTCCGCTCCGCGCA